TGTCAAAAAAGATGCTAATTTAAAAATTCCTGGAAGCCGTATTTATTGAAATTAAGGAATGAAACTTATTTTAAATTAAAGCTCAAAGCTTTCTCTTTAAAATGATATGTAATAATTGTTGGGTTGGATTGGAAAAATATTAAGAAAAAAAATGTTGAAACAACACTTACTTTTAAAAGAGTCAAAAAAGATGCTAATTTAAACATTCTTTGAAGCCATGTTTATTGAAATTACGGAATGAGACTTATTTTAAATTAAAGCTCAATGTTTTCTTTTTAAAATGTAATAATCTCTCTGTAATAATCACACCTAATAACCATTTATCAAAGAAATATCTTTTTGAACAACAAAATTCAACAGCACCACTTTTCATTAAACTTCTAACCTCACATCTGGATGAATAAGTTTAAAGTGTACCTAAAAATCCTACAGTGCGAATTGCGATGTTTTTTATACAGATTCTTTCTTGTATACACTTGTATAGTAGATATTACCGACAGCTCTAAATGTGCCGAATAAGTAACTACAGTTTAAAATGAGTGTTTAGAACTACCGGTACTTTAATGTACCGTCGGGACACAAAGGGTTAAAAATACAGATTTTTTGAAAACTTCGACACTGTATAATGTATGAATTACATTATAAGCAATTTTCATTAATTGTAATTAAGTTGTTGAATCGTGAAACTATCTATAATGTGAATCGTTTACTATTACAAAACTCATCATTAATAATCAATTAATAAATTGTTGGGCGATTATTCAATAATGATCGAGTCAAAAATTGGAATAAAAATAAAAAGGGAAATCGATCAATTTATTTGTTCCTCCATTTATTGCTATGTTTCTATTCAAAAAAAAATTTACTACTCATACCTTTGTTTCACTTTTTATTGCCGCTTCATAATGGAGAACCGTTTTTAATGTTTTTGCTTTTAATGAAACTAAAATCAAAGTGAAATTTTTAACTGATTTAAATTCTTAACCCCATGGAAAATTCCCTGTTTCATTAAAAGCCAATTCATTTAAACCCATTTCATTAAAGATTCCAGTCGTGAGTAATAAAAAAATCATTTGACACTAAAAAGTGAATCACTCAAACAAACAGAGACACGTTTTCACGCGTACCGTCTAATTTATTCCATCTAAATTGTTTAATCCTTTTATTTTTTTGTTTAGTTACTTTGTTTATTAGCATCTTGTAAATTACTATAAGTGACGCTAACGTTTAGAGTGTGAGAAATGTATGAATTGAAAAATTTATTGCTTGCTCCTCTTTTAGAATAAATATGAACTTCCGACTTTCGAATTCTTAATTTGTTCAAATTACCTATTAAATTTACTAACGAGTTTCAGTTAGAATTGTAACTTCTTAATTAACTGATTTATTATTTCATTTAAAACCACAATATTAATCATCGCGATAACTATTAATCATCTAAGCAAATGTAGATATCTTCTTAAGGATAGATAATACATCAATGTAACTGTCCTTGTGAAACTAAATATGAGCATATTTTATTCATTATTAATAGGGATTTATGCAAATACTAATTTACCTATTTACATCTTTCTTTGTTCATGTAAAGTATGAAGAATTTCCAATAACCTATTTTCAGTCAAATAATTTACATTACATAGAATACATATCGGGTAGGCGGACCAACCAACCTTGCACCGCGACCCTAAGGATCTATTGTACCCCGATAGATATCGTTATCAAATTTCACCGTGCAGTCCAATGCTCTTAACGAACATTAATACCTTGCTCGGCGAAAGGTCATTCAGATCTTTTGAGGAGATAAACTGCGACCCAAAAATCGAGAATCTGATACGGTTAACGGCAGGGCAGTGGCATAAAACATGCTCAACCGTCTCTGCTTCCTCCGCACATAGTCGGCATTCAACATCGTCGGCTAAACCCAACAAGTTGAGGTGTGCTTTTAATCGGCAGTGCCCATTAGAACTTTTATGCTACTACGGGCAAGTCCCAAAATATTCCCGGATTTGACAGTGGCGATGTTAATAAACACCTTAGCATGTCTCATTCCAGGAGAACTGGTCCACAGTAGGCGAAGTCTCTCTTCAGCCCACAGTCCAATCCTATATTTGGCCATCGCAAATGATACACCAACTGCTGGTTCCGGTCCCACAAACGCTTCAGCGCTGCCATCTCGTGCTAGCTTATCTGCCGCTTCATTGCCAGCAACCCCAGAGTGACCCGGGACCCAGAACAGAGAGACTCTGTTATCACAACTCAGTGTGTTTAATGTTCTCTTACAATCATTAACCAGAGCCGACACCGTTTTCACGGCTTGCAGCGCCTGGAGAGCGGCTTGACTGTCTGAGAAAATTCGTACTGTCATGTTCTTCACCCCTCTTTCAAGAAGGATTTTAGCACCCATGTCAATAGCAAATACTTCCGCCTGGAATACAGTACAGTACGTACCCAGGCTGTAGGCTTGCTCAATTCGAGGTGTCTGGCAGTATACTCCTGCTCCTACCCCTTCAGGCGTTTTTGATCCATCTGTGTACAAGCAAATGTCTGCCCGGACCAGAGAATTTTCATTTTCGATCCAGGACTGCCGCTCAGGCAGTACAATCTGGTATCTAGCATTAATCACTGATAGTGATACCGCCAAATCTGACGGCATTGATAGCACAGTATCAGTGCTTATAATGTCTTCTGCAGGACATGTCGGAACAGTTTTGAGCATATTGCTTAAATCTGTAAATGGTTGTTCTAGCTACTTTCTCTATGCAAATGCAGAGGAGATAGGCCAAGCAGAACCTCCATTGCTAGAGTTGGCGTTGTGCCTATCGCACCAGATTGCCAATCCAGCTACTCGTTGAATTCGTGAAAGTTTACTGGTAACTGAAGTCTGTCGGACTTTCCTATACCAGGCTGCTGCACCGTATGTGATCATAGGTCTAACCACAGTCACATAGAGCCAGTACAGTCTTTCAGGGGTAAGACCCCAATTTTTTCCACAAAGACTGCGACAAGTCCACAAGGATAGTCTAGCTTTGTGCAAAACTCCCTGCAAATGTCCATTCCATGACAGGGTTTTGTCTAGGATTACTCCTAGATATTTGACTTCCTTTGAGAAAGGAATTTCTTCACCTTGGATAGTTGGGCGGATTAATCCATCCAACTTTCGCTTCCTGGTGAAGGGCACAACAATTGTCTTTTGCGGGTTTATTGAGAGGTTCTCTCCCTTACACCAAGCGCAAATGGTATCTAGGGTCACCTGGAGGACTTTAGATATCCTCCAAATCAAATAACTTAGTCCAAATCAAAAATTAAGCCCTAAAAAGTCTCTAAAAAGCGTAAATCTCTAATCTCAATAATGATCGAGTCAAAAATTGGAATAGAAACAAATAAGGAAACCGATCAATTTATTTAAAAATCCTGTCATTAATTGACGGCGTTATACACTCCTAATGATCATAAAATTATGATACATAATCTTCAATGACGTTGATATTATGATGTCTTTATATGATGTCAAATACCCTGAGCACATATCATACGAAACAGATAAAATTTATGTGTAATTTGTTTTCTATAAATTTTGTTCCTCCCTTTAATAATAGTCTTTCCATTCCAATAATTAATTATTCACGTGTCATCTTCGGTTAGACAATTTTTCGATGACATAATAAATAAAAAGTAGGTCCGTTACCTTAAAATAATTTGTATAGGTTGGCAAATATCAATCGAATTAGACTCGACAGCAATATTTGGTCGCGAGCAATTAAACATGTCCCAATCAAGGACGTCGACTTGCAGATGTTTCTTTATCGTATTTCTTACGTCACAAACCTTAAGTGGTATTCCTGCGTATATAATAATGAAATTATTAATTATATTTGGTTATGTTTTGGAAAGAGAATGTCACGAAATAATCAACAATATACAAGTTTTTATTCTCAATAATTTTGCTCTTTTTCACCTATCCTCACAAATGCGTAAATATCGAGAAAAATACGAAAATGTGAAAATTAAATGAAATCGTGGTTTTATATGCTGTTGAAGTTTTAGTATAAAAGTTCTGAGGCATAAATATCGGGAAAAATATGAAAAGTATGTGAGATCGCGGTTTTACATTTTATTAATTGTACATTACTTACTTTTGTTAGTTATAGATTTTGTTAATTAATGTTATAATATTACTGACATAAATATATATAGTCTATTTTTGAAACTAGACTCAACATTGGTATGTTTAATATTTTGGAATATGATAATTGGTTAACATTCTTTCATACAATGAAATTTGAAGTAGTCAATGTATGCATTTCGTATTATTCATTGTTTACGCGTTTTAGAATAAATTATAAAAAAGTTAAGCTTCCAGCATTTCTTATACAATATGTAACACACGCACTCCATTGGAGTTCGTTTACATTTTATACAACATTTCTCATTTCTAATAACCTTGATTCGTTTCACTTAATGTTTAATGAAATAAAATTGCTACAATGAATATATTTACGAGAAATATATCTGCAATGAGTCATTACGAAGGAAATAAATCCATCAATAAATTCATCGATAAATCTTATTCCCACAAGAATAAAAATTCCTTTCGAAATGTAATTATTAATTATTAATAATTAAAAAGTGCAAATTTTTCATATAAAACAATCGTAAATTATTTCTTCATACTTGGCACACTTACAATGATGCAAATACCATATAACACTATCCTACAATAAGCAACTTACGTAACTTTTAACCATGAACAAGAGTAGGTACATATTAAGTTTATTGGGAAAGTGAAAAAGAACTCTTACCAACAAATTTTTATATCGGTAAACTTATATTAAGATTGTCGCAGAATGTGTGAGACCTTGAAAATTAGTATTTATAATATTTTTCCACGAGTTCCTCAGAAACGCAAAAATGTATAATATTGCGGTGAACGTAACCATAAAAAACTTTAAAAAAACGTATAGAAAAAAAATTAACACTCGCCATTGTTTTTTTATTTTCAGCTTGACGTAGAGGAGGGAACAAGTAATCGCGCAATGACGAAGGCATACGAAGAAGATATTAACCGAAACGGTTCAACAAAAGACAACGATGTATACATCGTGTCGGTAACAGGAGCTTATGATAATGATGGATTCAATAAAGGAGACGGTGACAATGACAACTTTAAGAAACCGATTCGGGAAATTACCGATGAGGAGGCTTCTCAACAAGGGAAGTTCAAGATGTCCCGTAAGGAGAAATGGCGCATCCTGAAAAACGTAAGCGCCGTGTCCTTCGCATTTATGGTTCAATTCACTGCTTTCCAAGGAACAGCAAATTTGCAGAGCAGTATTAACGCCAAAGATGGCTTGGGAACGGTTTCCCTGAGCGCAATCTACGCGGCCTTAGTTGTGAGTTGTATATTCGTGCCGACGTTTGTGATTAAGAGGTTAACTGTGAAGTGGACGCTCTGTGTATCGATGCTGTGCTATGCACCGTATATCGGAGCGCAATTTTATGCCAAGTTTTACACTTTGGTTCCTGCTGGGGTTTTACTCGGTCTCGGTGCCGCTCCTATGTGGGCTTCCAAAGCTACCTACCTCACTCAAGTTGCTGGTGTTTATGCCAAGATTACCGATCAAGCCGTAGATGGTATTATTGTGAGATTTTTTGGTTTCTTCTTTTTGGCATGGCAAACAGCCGAGTTATGGGGAAATTTAATTTCTTCACTAGGTAAGATTTAAACTTAATACGATTAGATTAAATAATAATTTTTATTTAGTCCTTAGTAATCCTCACGGAGGATCTGGATCAGCAAATGAAACCATCCTTGGCAATTACGAAGCATGCGGAGCAAATTTCTGTATTACGAATATCAACAACAACGAGAATTTACACAGACCTGCTGATTCAGAAATTTACGAAATTTCAGGAATTTATTTAGCGTGTATCTTTGTGGCTGTAATCATTATTGCCGTTTGCGTGGATCCACTTTCAAGGTAAGAAATTTCCACCACAAAGAGAAACCTTTATTATATCGTATAAATCCGCTTTCTATAAAGTCAATATTAAACGAAATCATGCAGTAAAATCTCTTATTTAATTCATCATAAAAACAAACAGTATCAACGATAACAACAAAATGCATTCCAAGGAAGGTGTAACCACCTACTTGCGACACACCATATCTCGTTGCGTAACAATCACCGCTGAGTCGTGTCTGCACAATGCAAATTGGTTTTGGTTGGCTTTGCACTCGGCGACTCCGATACAAAGTCAGAACTCAAACCTTCGCAGTCTAATGGAATAAACTAGTTAGAGTTTTCATTTTTCGTTTGCGTATATGTAAGTACAGTAATTGCGATCCGTTTCGGGACACCCAAGGTCGTATCGAAGGCACAAAGGCAACTTCTTTTACCGCAAGGTCGTCGTTGTAGGAATGCGGTACAGCTCGCATCACACAGCTTCCTTCGCGACAACGAGACACGGCATAATGGGCAAACTTGGACGAAATTCGAAAAAGCTTTTCGTACAACAAGATAAACTCGAACGATAAAATCACCTGAATACACATTTAAAAGATATCCGGGAGGTTTTACGCTTGTTATAAAATTTTTCGATTACACTTTTAAGGAGGTTGACCTTAAGATTTGTTTGACGTGTGCGTTTCGCGTCAACGCTAAAAATCGAAGAAAATAATATCGGATTTTAATTAACAAATAGCGTGCGGGAAGAACTTGTTTCACAAATAATTGCTCTTTTTTTTTCTAATAATAGTGAAGCATAAAAAGCAGTGCAAGGTTGAAACTATCATAGAACACGAAGGTTTTTTAAGGGGCAAATTATTTATGTTTAATCGGTGTTCAGGGTTGTAGCAAATGTGTCAATTGTTTTTATCCGTTCCAAACAGATTACGTTTGTAATCGGTAAAAATTAAAGATTATTACGAAATCAGGTTTACAATCAATAAAGTTAAACAAAACGTTTAATATATACGCTTATATGGGTTTAATGGCAGTTGTAGTAACCTACTTTTATTATTTAAACTAAATAAAAAATAACTATTATTCATACTAACCACAATACGGCGAGTCCCAAATAATTAACTTCAGATATTGCAATCTTGTTTTAATATTTGTTGTGGGAATCGTGTTGGATTAGTTGCTTAATGATTAAAAAAATCATAACATAAAAATATCCATACGAATGATAATCCTAATTGAACAACACCCATTGTATTTACAAATAAGTAATTCCACCAAAATAAAAACAATACTTAATTAATAAACATGAAATCTTAGAAGTAAAAACTAAGAAGTAAAAGTTGATTATGTTATAATTTATCCTTTATATATATTTTTTAGGTATGGTGAAAAACAACGTAGAAATAGTGGAGTTGAATTAACGGGTATTCAATTACTTTCTGCAACCGCTTACCAACTGAAGAAACCTTACCAACAGCTGTTGATTCCGATTACAGTATGGATAGGTATGGAACAAGCGTTCATAGGAGCAGATTTCACGCAAGCTTACGTGTCTTGTGCCCTTGGAATACCATCCGTTGGCTACGTAATGATTTGTTTTGGTGTTGTAAACGCCATATGCAGTTTGCTCTTCGGATCCGTGATGAAGTATATCGGAAGGAAACCGATTATGGCTCTTGGGGCCATAGTCCACACCGCTCTAGTCGCTTGGTTCCTCATTTGGAAACCGCATCCTTCAAATCCTGCCGTCTTCTTCATCGCTTCCGGTCTTTGGGGTGTTGGTGATGCCGTTTGGCAAACACAAGTAAACGGTAAGTTAAAAACGTAGTTATTCGAACAGTTTCCTGCTACATATAAAAAAAGAAATTATAAATCAAATTTCCTTTTTGTCTTATTCAACTTTATCGGACGAGGTCAAATTGTTGTTGCGAATGACGCAGTACTCAGGTAGAAAGGAGTGGGACGTGAGCTTTTGATGTCAATGTTTGGGAAAGTTCACCAGTGGCGCCGTCAGAAAGGTTGTTGGTCCTTCGCAGCCGTTCAACTTTGTAAACAAAACTCGTGAAAACTGGTTTTCATTGGTTACGACTAACCTAATGCGAGGAAATTCCTTACCGGAAAACGCCGTTTTATAATATTATGATGTCATCGTAGCACAATTATATGAAACTTGTTTTCCTTCTTGTATAGTATCACCTTTAACGGTTTGGTGAACAAGTGGAACACTAATAACTGATCATCTTCAGTCGAGGTCTCGAAACTACTAACACTTGAAACAATTACTGAAATTAACTGAAACAACTTACTTAAAAAAATAAATATTTTTATTTATTTAAGAAACTGTTATTAAGTTAAATTTGTTTTGGATTTGTTGAAATTGTTACGATTCCTTTCACTCCATATTTAGGCAAAAATGATTAAATCTTTATTAGGCACAAAATGATTGCGAATATTTATCCATTTAAGTTTATAGTAATTATGGTTTTTAGATAAAAAGTAAATCCAAGAACTCCACACCTGAATTTGAAATGTCAATTTTTTCTTTTATACATACGTAAACACCACACAAACTAACCCTCCCATAGAATGGTTAATACGTAACAATTTGCCTTCAATTTTCAAGGTGAACCAAAACCAACACATTTAATAAACGGTTTAACGTTTATTAAGTTTAACGTTACGCGCGTTATTAATAATAAAATGGAAGAAATAAATGGCGGTAATTTAATCGGTCGCTAAAGCTTAAATAAGCGAGAGTTCTTCGGGATTCCACCGCAAGAAATCCGAATAAGCCGAGGTAACCGGAGCAAGATAAAGAGCGGCGTCAAGTTGACATGTCCAAAGAAGGCGAAACGAGATTGTACATGCGAGGGCCCGGTCCTCTTATTAAACCAGTAACATAAAGTCTATTTATAAAACCGATCGCCATGCAAGTGCGTAGGAATGCAAAACCGAAAATTGCCTCAGCCACGCGCCACCGGAGCCGCGGCCAAAGTCCGGAGAGTGTCGAATCCGGACGAATCCGGTCCTATCCGGACAAAGCCCCGCCTCGGGCGAAGCAGGTTGAACCTCCGCGCTTTTCACAATGTGCTATATACACAGGCGCGGCCGTACCACACGTTCTTCGTCTATACAGTCTATACGTAAGCGAGACGGCGACGTCGCTCGAACGGAAAATTCCTCTTCAGGGATTTCCAAGAAGTAACGGAGATGAATATTAATGTGCCGTCAGTTGAATCGACGCCGGTCATAACTCCGCTTGTCAATCATTTGTTATTATGATTATTCTTAACTTCTCATCTCCTTTTTTCAGCTTTTTTTAACTGCTATTTTTATACGATTTCCAGGGCTTTATGGAACATTGTTCAGGCGGAACAAAGAAGCTGCTTTCTCTAACTATCGCCTGTGGGAAAGCACCGGATTCGTCATCGCCTACGCCTACTCTACACATCTATGCGCTCGGATGAAACTTTACGTTATGTTGATCGTCCTCGAAATCGGCGTCTTTATGTATATTATCGTGGAGATCTTACACGCGAGAAAACTTAGGAGGCAAAAGGAAAAAGAACGCTTGGCAGAACTTAAAGCTGCGAAACCTAAGCCCGAAGAACCAGAGGAAACAGATGATGAAAAAGATGATATTGATGATGATATTATTGTTACACATTTGTAAAAAAAAGTAAGTTATTAATTTTATAAGTACGGAATAATCTAATTAATTTTGTAAATGCACTCTTAAGCTTTTCTTAAAGATCATCGGAATAGATCAAAACAAGTAATTACAAAAAATATTTAAAAAAGAGGTATCATCTAAAAGTGTAATTCAATAATAATAATTCATAAATAAGTATCATAATTCGAAAAACATCCAGAATTGGAAATTCAACTCTGGAGACATCTGTTACACTGAATACAACTTATATAACTTTGGCAACGCGATCTCAAATTTGTTAGTTAGTTTAGTTTATTATTAGTTGCAAATACTATAAATACTACTTATACTACTACTTATAAATACTATAAGTAGGTTAAAGAAGTTTACCGCTCCAACTAGTGCTGGCTATAATTGATTTCTTGAATATTCTATTGAACAAAAAGTAGAGAAGAACATTCGGGTTTAGCCATCTTAAAAGACGTACAGCTAAACCCACGTTTCCAGTTCTAGATCTAGTATTAGATTTAATGCTGGTGTTAGTTCTAGTTTTAGTTGATATTCAGCGTTATATTGTTATATATTTGTCTTTGAATTAATACTAGAACTAACACTAGACCTGGAATTAGAAAGTTTCGAGTTTAGCCTTGCGTCTCTTAAGATGGCTAAACCCGAATGTTTCTATGTCAATTTAAATAAAACAAAATTTTCCTCCTTCTTGCTATTTATTTTAATATGCTTCTAAATCGATTTCGAGGAAACAATCCTCATCTTCAGTAGAATTGTCAGTTTAGTTGAAAAAATATATATTAATCATCAAATTTAACACATCCTCCAAAGTTAACTTCATCTTTTTTATTCAAACTTGAAAATTTCTTACTTTAACAATTGAACAAATATAATAGAATATCAAATTCAAACTAAAAGTTAAAATAAACTTAAAACAAAATCCAAAATAATATAAAACAAAACACGCGTTTACATTTGACAAAAGATACGAAAAATGACTCATGAGTTTCCTCGAAATCGATTTAGAAGCATATTAAAATAAATAGCAAGAAAGAGGAAAATTTTGTTTTATTTAAATTGACTTAAACAAAGCTTGCTAATGGATAATTTAATCAACCGAATGTTTCTAGTTCTAGATCTGGTGTTAGTTCTAGTTTTATTTGTTATTCAGCGTTAGATTATTGAACAGTATATCGACCCTATTGCAGGCACACATGGGATCAGGGGCTTTGTTGCATTTATGGAGTGAGTGTCTACATAAGCTGTACCGTATGCGAACCCTGTTAGCGGTTTTCTGTTAGCAGATACGACGGGGCAAGTTAAAACCAACTGGCTTGTTAGATATGTTCAGGTGTCGGCTCACTTCAGGGGTGACGGCCTGATTCTATGTCAGTTTCCAACTTCGCTCTATGTTAAAGTTCTCAGTGTATAGAGCTTAATTGGAGCGTCCATTGACCAGTATATTTTGTGTCCTGTCTTGTTAACCTGGGCGGTAGAATGAGGCTAAGCGCAGGAAGCCAATGTATGGGAGTAGATATGTGAGGGTTCTGTTCAACTAACGTGTGGATTCTTTGTTATTGATGTGGAAGCTTATGTACTCTGTTTTGTTTGGATTAGGCGTCAATCTCCAATTTCTATAATACTCCCCCATCACAACCAGATCGCTGGTCAGAATTTCTGCTTATCTGAATTTTACACTAGTTACTACTAGTGTAAAATTCGTGTAGACATTGAAAAGGATTGGCGCAAGAACAGAGTTCCCTGAGGTAGTCGGTTATTTAATATTTTTGTGTGACTCTGCGTTTATCCTGAAATGACCTGGAAAGACCTGTCACTGAGGATTTTATTCAGCAGCAACCTCAGTATCTTATATGAAATTCGATTTCGAAACTTAAAGAATCTCTCTTTCTCGCTCNCGATAGCTGTTCGGAGTTTTCGGCATTAGCATTTTCTCGAAAAACGAGATCATGACATGTAAGCTACTTTTTTTCTATCTCTGTTAGTTTCGGAGATAGCCTATGCGGACATCGAAATTGGGACACCCTGTACTGTGAGGGTTTTGTTCGGATTAGGCGTCAATCTCCAATTTCTATAATACTCCTCCATCACAACCAGATCGCTGGTCAGAATTTCTGCTTATCTGAATTTTACCCTAGTTACTACTAGTGTAAAATTGGTGTAGTGGCTCTGCGTTTATCCTGAAATGACCTGGAAAGACCTGTCACTGAGGATTTTATTCAGCAGCAACCTCAGTATCTTATATGAAATTCGATTTCGAAACTTAAAGAATCTCTCTTTCTCGCTCTAATCATAATCCGCTATTAGATTCACAAAGACGGCAGATGTCTTCAGTCGGTTCTGAAAGCCAATCTCGATATAAATTGTTAGGCTAAGAACCTGATCCACTCAGCTGCGGCCCACTTGAATCCTGTCTGTTTGATTGGGATATGCTCTGTAATCTTATCTTGCGTGGGCCTGTGGAGATGTGTCTTTTGGAAAACGAAATGACTACTCCAACAATTCTGTTGTATTGTTTATATGTACCCCCACAAGTATATGTCCGTATTAAGCGTTTATGAAGGTCTCTTGCGAAGAGTACGATGAGTTGAAAAGAGTAAGTTGTCCACAAATTAAAAACATCTATTAGTTCTAAAATAAGGCATGATGGCAATAATCGGTCAAACACAAGAGATAAACGAAGGTTAAAAATCTTATTTAAACCCGTATAATGTGTTTTTCGCATCTTTAACTACGAATGATCTCATCATTTTTACGAAAAGCTAAGATAATAAAAAATAATATAAACACTTTGGGTAGTTTTTATATGATCACATCACTTCTGTTATTCGATGCGGTAAAATGAAAAACAAATATTGTCGATTATGACAGGTAGAAATACTGGTCATTGTATTTTCACGGTCATCTCATTGAGTGTGGAACCGGTAGTCTCGGATTTTTGAATGTTTGCCAATTAAACTTGTGAATGTAGTTACGACGAAAAAGAGCGTGAATGAGATTGGATTTAATTAATGGTTACGGGGTTGTTACATAACCGTTTTTTTGTTGAATTGGAAAATTGTTGAATGCAATTAAACTGAAATTACAGGCCGTAATTGGCAGGTGATGACTGTAAATGTTAGTTTCTATTGTTAACCACACCTTAGAGTTACTAAGAATTTGTTAACTCATCTTTTCATTGTTCATTAATAAATGTTTTTATTTGTTTCAGATTATCTATTATACTAAAAAGAACCAGCGATCAGCAATAAATAATAATATTAATAAACAAACCCTGAAAAAAAGTTGGATGAAAATTGGGATATCGAGTTAGTGATTTGTGTTGTATAGGATAATTTTTAATTGTTGAACAAATCTGTACATAGTTTTTAGTTTTTAATGAACACTATTTAGAGTATCGCACAATTATACTTATTATATTTTATCGAACGCCCTGTATGTCATAGTAACGCGAACCTTATTATTCTTTTCGCGTTTTCTTTAGTAGACTTGCCAAAATCATTGGGTAGTGTCTGTGATTTTTTTAACTGTAGCGTACAAGAATCGTTCAAGTTTGTAAGTTCTATTTTCAAACTTGAATTAATTCTTGCTGTCGATATAAAAGCAGTATTCATGCAGTGTTCTATATAATAAACTGTTTCAACTGACAAAATTACTTTTTTTAAAGAAATTTATCGCCACTTGAAAAACAGATGTAAAAATAGTTCATTGTTATGAATTATGTAATAAATTATTTAAGTTAAGTGTTTATTTATAAAAAAAAGTATTTCTGTCGTTTAACAAACGCGTAGACAGATTTGTGTACAGTTCGCATTGCTAGAAAAATAATGTTATATTTATCCTTTCCCTTCCCATTAACCATTTAAGTTTATTGAATTACAACAAAATACAATTATTTAGAAATCTTATTTTAATAGAGAATGATAGTGATAATACAATATTAGTGTCAGTATTTTTCTGATAAATAAATGATCTTCATTAAAATTTTTTTGTTTTCTTGAACCATTTCTTCTGATTTGTAAATAAAGTTGCATAAAACTAATGTAAATTCATTGTAAAATCATATGACTAACAATAAGATTATTTTATTAAACTCGAGTTATCGTTTAGTTGTTATGTTTGGTGATTCTTACAGAAGTAACCCGAAGTAATAAATAATTCATCTCAGTAAATGATTCTATAAAAGTGTTTTTCACATTGTGTTTTTCGAATAATAAAGAAAATTAATACAACAATGAATGTTGGAATAAAAGAAAAATTGAGTAATCTCGATCGGGACGATAGAGCCATAATAAAATGCACCGAATGGTTACAAAAAACCTTAATAAGCGACGACGAAGAAAGTATTTGCTCCGAGACAACCGAATCGTCAAATTTTTCGAAAATTTCAAGCGAAGTAGACGATACAAATGGAATTTTAGAATGTTACAGCGGAAATCGCGAGATATTTTTAAACGATGAGGTAATTTAAAGATAATTCTTTATAAAAATAACAAAAGTTGTTTGAAAACTGTTTTGTTTAAGATTTCACATTCTCAATTAGAAACCGTCATCACTCAATCACAAAACGTTTACACCAATGTTAATATTAAGAAATCAAAAAATGTTCATCTTGGGAATGTTACCTACATTAATGGACCCGTTTATATTAATCAAACTTCAACGGTGGTTAATCAACACACCACTATAAATCAAATTGTTAATGTTCAAGATGGTAATTAACAATAATTAATTTGTTATTACTGGCTATCTCCGAAACTAAAAGAGATATAAAAAAAGTAGCTGACATGTCATGATATCGTTTTTCGAGAAACTGCTAATATTTCATCTTTCAAACAAGACCAGAAATGTTCAAATCGGTTGAAGGGACCAGGAGATATTAAAATGTAAACATTTGAAAACGCAATGGTCTCCCCCTCCCTTATTGCGATAGATAGAAATATCGCAAAACAAAAGCGATGTGGTATTATCCAGTTTTTCTACCCCAATTATATATTAGCGTCACGAAACCCTAATTAACTCGTGAAAGAATCTTAGGATAGGTCAGTTTTCTTTTGAAATCTCAATTATACCGTGAAGAAACTTCAATTATAGCGTGAAGGTATGTCAGGGTAGGTCACTTTTATATTCATTATTTTAAATATTCAATAATTTTAAGAAATATACCCATCAAACCACATATACAGCCTGATTCAGAGTAAGCGCCTTATTTTTTTTTAGCCACACTATGNAAAAAAAAATAAGGCGCTTACTCTGAATCAGGCTGTATATTCAAAAAAGAAGCAAAAAAAAAGTAACAAATTATTTTAGGCCACAGCCAACTATGGTTTGTATTTAAAAAGATAAAGTTACTGGTAAAATATGGAAAATAAAGCATGATAAAGCAATTTAGACTACTTATTAATTATATCGCAATTGTTTCAGTTTTCGCCGATAGGGCGAAAACAAAAGACGATAGCTGTTCAATATTTTCAGCATTATCAGTTTTTCAAAATACGAGATCGTAACATGTAAGCTACTTTTTGTCTATCTCTTTTAGTTTCGGAGATAACCTATGCGGACAACGAATTTGGGACACTAGGTACTTTATAAAAAATAATTTTTTTTTTAAGATGAAGATGATTCTAAACCGCCTTATGTAATAAATAGGATATATTGGTTGGCACAACCACCATCAGAACCCCATACTTACTTAGAATCTCCAGCAAAATATGTAGTAATCTGTAATTATAATTTTTTTAATTTCCTTTTGTAATCATTTCTTTTTAATTAATTAATTTTTTAGGTCATTCAGCAACAGAAGAAAGTTTTACCCAACCAGGAAACATTCTTATGGTCCGACTTATTCAACAATTTCATATCGAAAGTAGATGCTTTGGCGATATCGGTTACAATTTTTTAATAGGAGCCGATGGAAATGCTTACGAAGGTCGCGGTTGGAATATAATTGGGGCACATACGTACGTTTATAATAAAGTATCAGTAGGAATTTGTTTTATTGGATGTTTTACCATGAAATTACCATCAGCGGTGGCAATGAAAAAAGCAAAGCGATTAATTGATTATGGTGTGCGACTTGGATATATAGACAAAGAGTATTCGTTGGTTGGTCATTGTCAATGTACTACAACTGAAAGTCCTGGAAGGACACTTTTTGAAGAACTAAAAACGTGGAATAGATTTAATGGTGAAATTTATGCTGGAATGCCTATTGGTTTTCATCAACCTAATAAAACACAGAAAGAAATCAGTAACGTTAAGAACACTGCCATATAATTGTTTGCTACTTATTTTATATTTTTAATAAAGAATTTAATATCATTTTAGAATAATTTTTTTACAGTATTCGATTGCTAAACGCATTAGATCAAAATCACGGGATGATTGACATTTGTAAACAAAGTAACCTTACCCAAGATTTTTTTCCAGGTTGATTGACATTTCTAAAAAAACTAACTTATATCGACCTATACGACGAAAGCATTATTACCAATAGAGCTTTAAGTGCCTAAAGTAGTGGCTAAAAGGTTAATGGGTGACTCAAGTTTTCTTATTAAATTCCCAGTAAACTCCCAAGCTTTTATTGACTTTTACTCTAAGGTTGGCTGAGTGATATACAGGGTGTTCCGGTGACTCGGGGCATAAAATTAACCTCATATACTAGAGCAAAAATGATGACGATTCGTGAAAAAAATTATTATAAAAGTCTTCAAATGGCCAAAATATGGGCCATCAAAGTTCAGAAATTTTAAGACATTTTTCTAAATATTTTCAATACCATTTATGGTAGAGCGTTGAAATTTGGTACAGGGTAAACAAATATCAAGCAGAACCATTGAATCAATTTTGACTTTGATCGGGCTGCGGCAACCATGCTATACAGGCTGTCCCTAAAATTTGTTTGCTCAGAACGTTTTTGTTCGCTCGTAACCCTACATTTATTTTTGTACTCTTTAATAGAAAATTTATTTTAGAAACTTTTATCACTCTTTGAAAATTTTGATAACATTGACGGTTTTCGAGTTATACGCGAAAATGTTAAGCTTTGATTTCAATCGTAACAAACAAAAAAAAGAAACATATTTCGCAAGATCCGAGTTGGCGATGACAATTGAAAAACGAACTGAGCTAATAACCATTAATTGCATAAATTCCTAAGTGCAGATTTAGTTAAATCCAGTGTTAATTTATTTTACTTGAATAAAAGNAAAATTCATTTCTTTCCCCATCAAAAAGCACACATTTTAATCTAGTAGCGCATGAATGTTTTACACTCGATGTTATTTTTGTCCAAATATCAAGTAGCGCTAGACACAAAAGAAACAATTAAACTTTATTTTGTAATAAACATCTACTTATTTATTTATTTTGACAAAAATAACATCGAGTGTAAAACATTCATGCGCTACTATACTCTGTTTTTAAACCAGGAGGAGTAAACGCGAAAGTCAGATTTACACTAGGAAAAATCACCAGAAAATATCACTAGATATTTTAGTGGTAAATTTAAATTAATAATTGTTATTATTTATTTACTTATTATTGTATTTATTTTCGTTTGTTATTGCGGGGCTAATGCTTTGATAGTAGCGAGAGGAAGTTTTAGGAAAACCAATGTCTTCAACAACAAAATTTTATTTACAACAATAATAACAATAATGTAAATGCGGACGCGAAAAGGGTAACCGCTGACTGATCTGCCGATGGTAACTGCTAACTGATAACTGATGGTAACTGACAACTGATGGCAACTGACTGAACTCTCCGGGCCGATCTTGGTTCCTTTTATCCCCGAGTCCAGTAATATCCCCGGTGAAAGCTCTCTTCGAGTCCTTGTCTGGACCAAAAGGATCTGCTGTCCAGATGTACGGAGAGAGTTCTTCTGAATNACCTACAATAAACAGAATATCAACTCTGCAGTTAACAAATATTAGGTTCAAAATCAACATTAACGATTTATAACTATTAAAATTATAATATGGCGTACAGGTAGGAACTTCATCAAAAATCAATACAAAAGAAAAATATTTAATGAGTTCTGTGAGCCTGTTTCTTATTTACAAGTGCTGATATATCTGGCTTTATTCTGCTCAATTTGAGTCTTAAAGGTGGTATTTCGATTTTAGGTAGAGAAATTGGGAAAATCNAAACGTTAAGAGAAAATCTCCATTGTGATTTCCAAGTTTTCATAAATCTTGGATTTTAGTCCGCTCAACTATGTAAATTTCTCAAATTGAAGATTCTATCTTTAGAAAAAGTGGATTCACCTGTAAAAAGTACTTTTTCTAAAAACTGATCATCAATTTGGATTTTGTGCTGCATTATTTGGCAATATGCCAAATACGCAGACTGGCCAATTGCCAGTCTGCATATGCAGACTGCATATTACATATTGCAGTCGCAGTGGGTAATCATCCAGTCGAACTTCCTGAACTTTGTAACAATGAAATGGATAAAGCTGTTGCTCGTGAAGAACACGCCAGATAGTTGTTTTGAAGTTAAAAAATGCCTCGCCATATCTAAAGTACTAGCTGTAGTATTTTCTTCTACGTAGTCTAGAATATCTTCTTCTAGTTCGGGTGTTCGGGCTGATCTTACGTTACTAAGCAAGTTGTTTTTTTAATTGCCATGGCCAACCTTGACTTTTTCGAAGACTTTGTTTTTTAGTGTTACCATTGAAATCGAAGCTTAATATTTTCGCGTATAACTCGAAAACGGTCAATGTTATCAAAATTTTCAAAGAGTGATAAAAGTTTCTAAAATAAATTTTCTATTAAAAAGTACAAAAATAAATGTAGGGTTACCAGTGAACAAAAAAGTTCTGAGCAAACAAATTTTAGGGACAGCCTGTATAGCATGGTTGCCGCAGCCCGATCAAAGTCAAAATTGGTTCAATGATTTTGCTTGATATTTGTTTACCCTCTACCAAATTTCAACGCTCTACCATAAATGGTATTGAAAAATTTAGAAAAATGTGTTAAAATTTCTGAACTTTGATGGCCCATATCTTGGCCATTTGAAGACTTTTATAATAATTTTTTTTCACGAATCGTCATCATTCTTGCTCTACTATATGAGGTTAATTTTATGTCCCGAGTCACCGGAACACCCTGTATAAGTATAGGTTTTAATTCCATATCTTCAGAGGAATTGGCACCAAAAAGAATTCTTATTTTTGATAGGTTTATGACCTGGAAGGCTGTTTGGCAACTTTTTCTAGGTATAATATATGTAATAGTAGTGTCATTTAGTTATACCGAGATGGCAAAGATAAAATTGAATGCACATTGAATGCTTGTATTGACTTGATCTAGATTTTGAATTTTTTTGTATTGATGGAAAGAATTAAATGAAAGTAAATTTAAATATTGACCTAGTTTAAAATATCTTATTAGATTAGATTAGATAATAAATACACCAAATAATGATTCAGTTACTACTAAGATGCTTAAAATAACACTAATCGTTTTATTAATAAAAATCGTCCACGGAGATGGTACATAATCTTAATTAAAAAAATTAAGTTCAAATCGAACCATTTCTCATGTATTTATTTGTTTGTTTTAAGATGGTTTTTGCGAGTGTTCATGTGAAGGCACAAAACAAGATATTGGATTACCAATCTGCGATCAAATAACAGGAAAATGTGATTGTAAACCTGGATTTAGTGGGTAAACAAAACTTTTAAATTAGTTACAACATTCGTTCTTATTCGTTATTTTTTTTAGAAAAGATTGCGGTACTTGTATTGATTCAATACCTTCAAGAAGTACGTGTAAAACATGCGATTGCCCAGATCGAAATAATAAATGTTTGGATCAAACTAATTTTAACGACTTTCTTAAAAAATTTCAAATATTAAAAGATACAATTTTTACCGAACTCAACCCAGAAATAAGTGATGGAAAACTTGTAGATTTAAAAAAGAAAATTGATCAGTTATATAACGATTTAAAAGATGTTCCAAAATTGGATTTGATGCCTTTAAAAAATTTAATGAATGATGCTGATGATGTAATTAAAAAAATTCAAGATATTTTAAATAAATATAAAAACGAAGATTTATTAAAAGATGATTTAAAGAAATTAAATGATACCTTAGGTGTTATCGATGATCTTGAAAAAGCACTGGAACATTTAGATGATTACAAATTAATCGATAAATTGGTTAAAGAAGCTAATGATATATCTAAAAATGTTGAAAATGTCTTAGATCAACATGAAGAATGTTTAGATGTAGTAGACCAATTTTGTAATGGAAAAAATACAAGTCAAAATTTAAAAGATGTAATACAAGAAGCGCAAAATGTTGACGTTAATGAATATTTTAAGAGTGCAAATAAAAGAATAGAAGATGTGAAGGCCACAACTAAAATTAATGAAATGAACCAGAAAGACTTGGACGAATTTGAAATTCCAAGTCTCCCCAAATTTGATGAAAAAACTTTAAAAGATAATCATAAGAAATTAGAAGACATCAACGATCGAATAAACCACACAGAAAATGTAATAAAAAGCGCCGCTGACGTACTGGGTGATGTGAAAAAGAAAAAACATGAATCTAATATAGAAAAAGCAAGGGCTTTTAATACTATTTTGATGGGTAAAACAATCTATTTTAATTTTCTATATTTCAACATCATCTTCTTCTATGCCTTTTCCCTTATACCTTACGACGTCGGGTTCTGGGTCCATTTTTGGGTCTTCACTGCTAAATCGCGCCCTTGATGCTGTCTCCCCCTTCCCCTCTTCCTTTCTCTTCTTGCCATCATCATCCTCTGTGAGAGCCTCTTACCATCCATATGGATCACGTGCCCGTACCAGTGCAACTGTCCGTTCTGAATAGTTTTTGTGATTGTATTTTTGATTCTATCCCTTTTGGTTCTGCCTATTGTTTGCCTAAGTGTTTCGCCCTTGTTTCTGCAGCTATTACCTTGCTTTTGTGCTTGGGTTTCCGCCCCAAGCATCTTTGTTCATTTACTCAGCTATATTTATTTCTCAATGTTGTGTTAATCTGGTAATATACTTTTGCTGCTTTGTACATTCTATTTTTTATGTCCTGATCTGATGTTTATGTCTTCTTCCTTGTCGCCGATTTTTATACCTTCATTGTTTTACTTTTCTTTGCGTTTATTTCAATTCCTGCACTTTACACATTGATACTCCACTTGTTGACTGCGGCTTGTGACTTTGTGAGCTTTGTGACTGTGTCGTAACCAGTAATTCTATGTCATCGGCATACACAAGACTTTGGAGACGTGCTTCTTTCATTCTCCAGTGTCCGAGTTTTAGGTTTAGTGCACTCTCTTTACTTTTCTTTAAGATTTGGTGCACAACCACAATCAACAGGAGGATATTTGATTCCTTCTTCCAATATTAAACGAATATTTAATTTTTCTTTTTTAGCCCCACGTTCAGAAATTCAAGATATAATCGATGACATAACAGCAACAATTAAAAATTCAACCGCATTAATCAACGAACTCAACACAAACAAAACCAAAATCGAAGAAGAAATGGAAAAAATTTTATTAAATATAAAAGAAAAAGATGATGAACTAAAAAAATTCAAAGAACGAATGAATAAATTAGAATCTGATCTAGCTTTGATTGTTCCAGAATCCGATGTCGTAAACGGGCATCTAAACATGATAGAAAAAATGAAAGAAAACTTGGTTAACCTGACGGCTGAGTACAAAAAGAAACGTGGAGAGTATCAAGAATTTGATAGGATGCTGGACGACGAAACCATAAAATTTGACGCTCTAATTACTGAGAACATCGAATGTTTAAAAGAAGAGACGAAACAGGTTAATGAAAAAATTAACGCTAATGAAGAACTTTTAGATATTTTAGAAAAGGATTTAGATAATGTTGTGGAATTAGTTGAGAAGGTTGATGCTGTCCTTGAAGATTATAATGTTTTTATGGAGATTAAGAAATCGTTAGATGGAATACGTAAAGATGAAATTGAGGGGAGATTGCTTTGTAAAAAATTTACTTTAACATAAAAAATATTTGGTTTACATCATATTATGTTTATATCAGTTTTTTTTGAGTAAAAGTTACTTATTTATCATTAAACAGGCCTATATTACTTGTTATAACTGATTACTTGCAATACTTGTTTTGCAACTTTTGTTGCAATAAAAATGTAAATTTTGAGAACATTGAGCTAGAACACGATCTAACTGATATACAGGTGTCTCAGCGAGACCGGTCATTAGACGTCTCTGTGGTTCTGGCCAAAATAAAAGTTGAGAATTCAGACGTAAGTATTATCAATTACGTTCTCATCGTCTAAAATATTTTCAGATTTCTAGCACTTCCGGTTATACCGGAAGTCGTCACCTACTTTCTTTTTTTAAATGGAACACCCTGTATATTTTTACATATTTGGATTTGTCTGTTTTGAAGGTTTATAAATAACTTTACTTTTTGCAATTTGATTCGGCCGTTCTCGAGTTATTCGATTCTTTCTAGAAAAATCTGCTCCAGCGGACATTTGTTCAAAAAATCATAGAACACTCGATTTTTGAGATATCAATTTAGGATTCAGAACATGCTTAAACAACATGATGGAGTATGTTTTGGTGCCAAGAACGGCTGTCTAGATCGTTTGGTCACTTTACTATGACACGTTAACGTTTCGAAATTTGGAACTATCATAACTTCATTTTTTTAAATGGCACCCCCCATATTTTATTACTTAGTCGTCTTCGGCGTCTCATTTTACATCTTTTATACTCCATATGTCCTATGCCTAACATTAATAGTTTGAGAAATAATTAGGGTTTTTTGAAAAATGCTCACATATCATATCGATATTAACCTAGTGTGCCATGGAAAACAAATGTTTAATGACTTATTGACAAACGTCAAAGTCTGATTTACGTTGTTTGATGCTTGTGAGTCTGAAACCAGATAAAATGGATATTAATAACGTAAATAATGTTTATACAAATAAAGAAATCCATAATTTATTTTTTGTGCACGAAAAGTACGACAAAGTTCTTAGTAGAACTTGTAGAATGTTTAATGAAAATTATCTGCATTTACCTCCGATGACAAAAGATAAATTTAGAAGAATAGAAGCAAATTTTTTGCATTTTGGACGAATTAATTACGTGTTAAACTGACCAAAAAATGTAGTAGATAATGCAACGGAAGAGGTGAATGCCTTGGCTTATTTCGAGCCCAGTCCCAACACCTCAATTCGAGCTGCCAAAGAAGATCTAGGAATCATACTACGAACTTTGTCGCGCTTTTTATGCATAAAAAATAAATTAAGAATTTCTTGATTTGTGTAAATAGTACTTTCGTTATTGTTATCGATTTTAACTCTTTTCAGTACTAATATTAAGGGACATAACAGATAATTATTTGCTCACATGCATCAAGTGAGGTAAACAAGTGAGTCTTTGACAAGAACTCATTGAGAAGGCTTGTTTTTCATGGCACACTAGGCTAAATATCCATATGATATGTGTGCATTTTTCAAAAAACCCTAATTATCTCCCAAACTATTAATGTTAGGTATAGGACATATGGGATATAAAAGATGTAGAATGAGACGCCGAAGACGACTAAGTAATAAAATATGGGGGGTGCCATTTAAACAAATAAAGTTATGGTACTTCCAAATTTTGAAAAGTTAACGTGCCATAGTAAAGTGACCAAACGTTCTAGACAGCCGTTCTCGGCACCAAAACATACTCCATCATGTTGTTTAAGCATATTCTGAATCCTAAATTGATATCCCAAAAATTGAGTGTTCTATGATTTTTTGAACAAATGTCTGCTGGAGCAGATTTTTCTAGAAAAATTCGAATAACTCGAGAACGGCCGAATCAAATTGCAAAAAGTAAACTTATTTATAAACCATGAAAACAGATAAATCCAAATATGTAAAAATATACAGAGTGTTCCATTTAAAAAAATTAAGGAGGTGGCGACTTCCGGTATAACCGGAAGTGTAAGAAATCTGAAAATATTTTAGTCGAAGAGATCGTAATTGATAATACTTAAGTCTGAATTCTCAAATTTTTATTTTCGCCAGAACCCCAGAAACGTCTAATGACCGGTCTCGTTGAGACATCCTGTATGTATATCAGTTGTTAGGCAACCAGAAACGTTAGTATGCAAATAAAGTTAGCAGACCACTTGCAACTTGGAACAAAAAAGTTTTGTTTTTGTGTACGTACAATTGAAAAAGATTATTGTTTTCGCACGTATCACGACTTTGATGAATAAATAATATCAATAAATTTGTTACTGTTATCTACATTTTCTTCCTCATTATCTAACATAATATTTACAGCGTTTATTATAAAAGACTATTATTTTATTTATAAGTTTTTTTAATTCTTTCTCTTACACAAAATATACAATGAAAAATATAGAAACTGTAAAAAAGAATTTTAAAAGTACAACCAGTTTGTCAATGGTATCATCGCCATCTATTGATGCTATTGATAAAGAACATAAAGAAATTTTTAAATTTAAATCAAAATTTTACGAATAATTTGAGAAAAACCAACGCGAAAATTATATTCTCGACAAATATTTAAATTAAAATTAATAAATTAACAATAATAAATTGAAATTTCGAAATTGAAAATTTGACAGATAAATAATAGAGTTCTGCATTAACGGCTCACGAAAAGTTTATCCGTAATGGCCGTAATGACAAGAGGTGAAGTGCAACAATAGTGTGTATTTATTTTGTTTACATGTGAATGTTGAGCGAAACGGGGCGATGGCCGACTTAAACATAGACGTATCTATGTTACCCGAAGACGTGAGGGAGAAATTAGCCGAATTAGATTTAGAATTATCCGAAGGTAAGTCGTCGTCGTGTGTGTGTTCCCTTACTGTCTGTCTGCATAGTATGGGTGCCCTTCTGGCATCAATCAATAATTTCACCTTTTTTTTCCTATTCGTTCCGTTACGGAAACTTCACCTCCCAATTTGTATGTACAGTTAAAAAACGTAGACTCCAACTTCCCGTTTATAATACGAAACGTCATTTATTTGCGGTATCAATTCACATTTGACAATTAACCTATTCATAGGTTAAGTCATTTTTGAAGTTTCATAGTTTTTTTATAAATAATTTTTTATACTTCTATTTTTATAGTTATAAAAAGGAAATTGTTTAATTATATTGATAACGGTTCAACCAATTTAATAACCTGTTCCAATCGTTTTTCTCTCTTTCGGTTCTTTTGTGAGTCATGCAAAGGAATTTCTTACCTTCTCTCAGGCTTAAACTTGAGAGAATAAAGATTCCTGTTGTTTAAGATATTGAATATTTGTGAATTACACAACATTCCACATTATAAATGATAACTTATTATTTAATATGTATAACCAGCTGTTTAGTTAAGTTATCTGTATCTCTTTTTTCCCTGTTTACTGGATAAAGGTAGTTTATTTTTAATTTTATTATTACCTCACCTTCTATAATTATTATTCTGTAATACTACAATAGTCATCATTTAAAAATACCTCTATTTTTATAACTAATAGAGTACCAATTATTATCTTATTTATTAACTGAATAATTTATAAAGTTATTTCTTTTTTAGGTAATGAAATTTGAACCTAGAAATTGGAAAATATTAAGTCATTATTTTAACTATAATTTTTGAATAAATTACCACAGCGACATCTCTTAGCAACTATATACAACTATTATTTTATTATGTTGTGTGTTGTTTCGCCACTAGATGGCGACACAGACATTATTAAATTCAAAAATACTACTTCATTAATTTTTATTACAAGTCCTTAATAGGTATATTCAATTTATTATCGAATAGGCTTCCGATTCTTATCAGACCCACTTCTAAAGCATATAGTACAATAAATTATAAGTTTTAAATCAATTTATTCTTTAATGCTTATCTTTTCGCTGAATGTTGTGTAAAATTGTTAATAAAGTGTGTATTTATCTTGCGTTTCAAACAGAAAACCATAAAATAAAATGACATATTAAAAATTAAGAAATACATGGAATTTGATATTACGTAAAATATAATACATATAAAATAAGTTTTCTATTAATTATTTTATTGTTTGCTTGAATGGGTTATAAAATGTTGAGGTTAAAATTAAAGTTGGGTGTTCTGAGTACACGCGGTCTTGGACAAGCCCATGTTGATCATTATGCGATTTCTAACGATCAATCTTCGTCCAAGTGCGGCAACGCTGTTATTGGTTCTAAGCACGAGGGTGCAGCAAGTCCCGGGAGTGTACGTGTGTGTGTGGGACAGCTTATGGGCTTGGTTCTTTGGTACCCGCATTGGTCGAACGTCAATATCGCTAAGCCGGTCTCGGTTACATTCTGGCGTTCGCGAGATACACGCCAGGCCATAAAGTAAGGATGTGGCCAGAATGAGAAGTCAAGGCGAGAGAGCTTTTGCAAATGGCTTAAACTTTACGGCCTCGGCGTGTATTTATAGAAGACGAGTGTATAGTTTGGTTCTGTGGCAGATAGGGATGGCGCGTTTAAGAACCGCTGGTACACGCCGCTGGTAATGACGGGATTTGAATGTTACAAACTTGCTGGATTTTCGTAATAAATAAGCGGGCGAGTTTGGTACCCAGGGGGTCCTTACCGGCTGGACACTTGTTTCCAGTCGTTAGTTCTGCGAGTTCGAAGAGGTCAGCCACGAATAGACATAAATTTTCTGTCTAGCAAAGTTTAATTTATCGCATTCTCAAAGAAAAATAAAACACGCCTGTCGTCTGAGGGTGAAAAGTTGCTTTATTAAGACGTGGTGGTTTTGTAATTACTTCTGGTGGACTCTCTCTCTTTCGGAAGCAACAATCGCACAAATAGGATTCATTTATTGATTCATAATTTGTACCATTACTTGATTTAATAAAGATAAATTGCAATTTCCAAAAATTGAACTCATAATTAAACTTCAAATTTATATCGAACCCTTTACCCTATCGAAGTTACTAAATACTCCAGTGTTAAAAATATTAGTTGTTCATTTGGTTTATGAATTTGCAACAAAAATCGATCTGTACAAAAAGTTACATGAATTGGTTATTCTAACGTAAATACTATTTTATACCTAAGAAATATACATAACCTCATTTCTTAACGGTTCTTTAACACGTATTGTTAGCAACTGAACGTTTTAATATTTGATGTCCTTGACGTCTTTGTTGACCC